TTTTAGTTTATACAACATTTATATTCCTTACCACATAACTGGATTTCCTTTTGTAATGGACACGGTTGCTGGCCAGTTTGGATCGCATGGGATACCTTTCACTGGCTCTTCGCACCCATCTTTCAGATTCTGCAGCTGCAGCCTAATTCCTGACCTCAGACTGACTGTCCTTCAACATTAGGGTTGTCTGGTCCATGTGGATAATTGGAAGTTTCTGGGACTCATCTTTTCTCTGGACTTTGCCCCATGTACCTTTTCCTTTTCCTGATTTTGTTTTGCATGCTATCATTTGGTAAGCCATGCTTACAGGTACGAATGTAAGGTGAATCCTCCTAGCTAATCACTAAACCCGGGAATGGTTTTAGAAACGCAAGACTCATTGTCTTTTCCCTATTTTGCTTCTTTATTCCCCCTTTTCTTACTGGTTTCTACCAGGAGCACATCCTTAAGCTCCATACATCTTAATCCTGGACCTGACCTATGCTTCTGGAAGAATCTATGAATATTCTGAATCATTCAAAATATTAGTCTCAACTATGAGTGCTATAATTTCTCTTTTTCTATTCCTGGCATGCTTTGCTCCCAATCTTCTACCAATTGTCCCACTTACCTCTTTCCCTCTGCAAATTGTGACTTTTTAATAAATAAGTACCTGGAAAAAAATTCCATATTCACACAGTTTATACACCACATACAAATTGTACTACGGGGCCTAAAACTAGGGCACCATCTTTCCCCATTTCTTTCCACAATGAGTCCCATTCTCCAGTTGTATAAAATTTCAAAATTCTTATATTTTCTTCAAGATATGGAAATGATATGCCCCCATATTCTTCCTAGTGCTGACTACATGGAAACAAAGAAGTCTGATATGAACTACTTGGGAAGGAAAGAGTAGTTAAGTCTTCCCTTTCCTCTTCTCATTGGTGGTAAAAAGTTCAGAAAGATTAAGCAGCTACGTGGCAAGCCAGTGGTCTGGACGCTAAAGCCAATGACACAGTTTGTACGTATATCCCCACTAAATCTCATATTGAAATGTAATCCCCATTGTTGGAGGTGCGGTCTGGCGGGAGGTGACTGGATCACAGGGGTAGATTTCTGAAGAATGGTTTAGCACCATCTCCTTGGTGCTGACCTTATTTATGATAGTGAGTGAGTTCTTATGAGACCTGGTTGCTTAGAAAAGTGTGGCATCTCCCTCTTCACACCCTCCATTGCTCCACTCTGCCATGTGAGATGCCTGCTCCCACTTATCCTTCCACCATGATTAAAAGCTTCCTGAGGCCTCGCCAGAGGCCGAGCACCTAACATGCCATGCTTCCTGTACAGCCTGTAGGACTGTGAGCCAATTTAACTTCTTTTCCTCTTTTCTTTATAAACTACTCAGCTTCAGGTATGTCTTCATAGCGATGCACAAATAGCCTAACACAGTCAACTTCCCCCAAGTGTTTTCAAATCCAGTTCTTTTGCTACTTTTGATGATATACAGACACGTTCCCAAAAGAGACAGAAAAACTTGCTTTTAGGTCTTGCCTCAGTGCTCATCTCCACATATGCTTAGTCATGGGCCTAACCGGTGCCCTTCATTACTCTTATACTGTATCATTAATAGCTGAGTAATGATGACTGACAATGACTTGCTTCCATAAAAGTACGTTTTGATTTCTTAACAATCTGGGTCAAGTAGGAAACTGAGTTGTCTGTGTCCATGTCACTGGTTATATGCTAACTTATACTAATATTGGGGGAAAAAAAGGAAGGTAGCACAGAACCTCAGGTATGTGAAACCACTGAGGTTTATAAAATAATGCCAAAAACCCCAAATAATGTAACTGGTTTTTGAAATTCACATGGAAAAGTGTCAATACTCAATATCTGAACTAACGCATATAATATGAAAATACAGAAAGCATTTTTTTTGTTTTGTTTTGCAGAGGAGAAGGAATTACAGTAACAATATCTGATTTACACTCAGAAAAGTAAGGAATAAGACAATATTTTTTCCCCTTCCTCCAGTCCAATAGCCTTGCTTTGTTCAGTTTCTAACAAGCCAATTTAGGTAACAAAATACTCTTGCCTTGCCAGATTTACATCTTTAAATGAAACATATCCAAATATCCAAAAAATTAAAATAGGGCAGGTTTTGAGCTTTTTACTAGTGTAACATCCTGATTCCCCAAACCACAGATTTTGAAGTAGGTTCCTGTATTTGTGTTCAGACATCTGGAATTGTGTTTCTGACGATCTTTAAATAATGAGCAATATTTGTTTTATTACATTGAAATGTTGATCTTTTTTTGGAGAGTCTAACTGTCTTTTGTGCTCTCTTTTGTCTTGTGACTCTGTTCTCCCCCACCCCCCGCCCCATCTTCTTCTCTGACAGACACAGAAGCTGCCTAAAACTCCTCCTGGGGTCCCTCACAACTCTCCCGCGAACCTCCTTCTTAGAAGGCAAATGGAAAAACGAACAGCAGCAGCAGCAAATGTTACTCATCACTGGGAGCCTTGACAAAGAATATTTCAGAAAACAAAGAGAGATTTTCAGTGTTTTGAGGTCATTAACAGAGTTGTGAAATCTGTGATGAATGTGGGAACAAAAAAGTCTTTTTATTATTTGTTCATTTCACAGACTCTAAGGCTTCATGTCCCTAGTCGAGCTTTAACTTAATTATAAAACAAGATGTATAGCTGCAGCCCAGGCCTAGAGGAACAGTCTGCACAATGATTCCACTATAATTCCCTGGGCCCAATTTAATTACAAAACAACGTTTGGTGCAGCTGCTGAACACCTACCAGGTGACCACACAATAATACCGGGGTAGTATTTACAAGTCTCCAGCTTTTTGTTTTATTCTATCAGCCCAATTATGTCTCAGGTTATAGACAAATTTGAGTGGGTTCTAAGATTTATAATGAAAAATAATTTTCTTGATTTTACACATTCCTGTAGTTGAAAGAGCTAACATATTAAGTAGTAATAACTAAATACAACTAATTAAGGTCAGGAGATAAAATTTAATGGTGGAAAAGATGTCCTGGTAAAAGACAATAACAGACTGAATATCAGTTCTAAAAGTCATTCTGTTTATGAGGTAGACAGAGTGAAACCAGCTCATGTGTATTGTGATATCAATTTGTTTTGTAGGTTATAACATACATTACCAGTACAACTATGCACATCTAACTCATAGCCCTGCTTGATTTTTACTGTTTTTTTTTTTACAAGATAAGCTAGGAGGTAATTATTTACATTGCAAAATAAGATTTACTTAAAATTAAACTAAGCCACCGGTAATTTTTTTAGACAGCTGGCTCCTTTAGTCTATATAAAATAAATTCAGTTTGCACAAATACCAGGAAGAGGGTTGCACTAAGTCGACTAGATCTGATTTTTCATCGCATAACACAGAGGCGGAAGTGCCATGCAAAAGTAACTTTTTAGCTTTCTGTTTCACTCAAAAATACTTTTTACAATACCTGAGACCCTAATTCCTCTGTCAGTCTATGGAAGGACAAGAACAATTCTTTGAACTGAGAAAAATGATCAGGGAAATCAATATGATCCTACTGTTTTTGCAGCAATTCAGAAGATAACATAGAGTATTGTATGATCCAAATTAGGATTTCAAGTGTGAGTAAAAGAGAAACAGAACATGCTTCTTTTGCTTTCTCTTCCTAGCTGCCAATCTCTGAGTGTTACTTCCTCCCTTTTTCCCACTCTTTATGGAAGAATAAGGAAGAGCTAAAGAGAGGATATATCACAGCTAATTATGCTTATCACAGCAAAAAAGCAGAATATATAAAATTCATCATAAAAGATCTAGAACAATGATCTCCTTCCTCCCTTTTCAAACTCAAGTACTGGCTCAGATTGTTCTGCATGACTATATTAGACCCTGGACAAAGAGAAAAGCCTAATTTCTCAGTAATAGCAGTGTCTGTCAGTCTCCCACCCAAGAGAGTGTCTTCCTTTATGACTGAACAGTGACTGAATCACAGGAGGAAACAATTCTGCTTGCTGGAAGAAAATAGGATGGAAGGAATGATGACAGTTACCAGATGTTCCAGTACCCCCCAGGGGGCACCAGAATGTTTCTGCGTATGCTGTAAACAGCATAAACTGTCAACCATGGGACCCTGGGGTTTAGCACTCACGTTTCTCTGATGTGCAGAGTCATAGGATTCAAGAGATAGAGCAACCTTACAGATGATCTTGTCCAGAGGTTTTAAACTGTCTGGGGGAAGTCCTGTGGTTTGTGTGACTCAGGGATGATTTCGAAGTAAGGGGTTCTCACCGGAACAGTAGCAGTACTCTTATGAAGGAACCTAAAAATCTTTTATCAGAGCTAACATCAAGAGAGCATATTTTATCAAATAAATATTAGTTATAAAAGTCCAAGGTAATTCCTGTGGTTGTGGAAAAGAATCTTCTGGAAAGCCACTTTCCAGTGCTCTAGGACATTCCTAAATAGGGAACCCCTAGAGAACAAAGGTCAGTCAGGAAATCTAGGCTGTCATAAGCCTGGAAATTAAATAACAGTAAGACACAGTATCAGGGAGGTTAGAAGAAAAGACTTTTAGAGTCAAATCAACTAACACAATCCTTCTTTGTTTACATTTCATTTCCTATAACAGTTTTTTTAAAGGCACTTTAAAAAGTTACCTTTCCTTGTTATCATTAAATTTGGAAACTTAATAATAAATTACTGCCCTAATGATAATTCTTATACCGTATGATCTGTTCTGTTTTCACATTTAACAATATCCTGTTACTATTCATGGATCCTCTCCACTGCCACCATTTCATTAAGAACATAAGAGACAGCGAGAGAAAGAGAAACAGGGAAAGAGAGGGAGGGAGGAAGGAAGAGAGAAGCAGCTATTTCTACGTTTGTAAATGGAACCAGTTGTAATGAGAGACGACAGGATTTTAACAGTAAGGAAAAACATGTATGCAGGGTTGGACATCCATCAAAACATAATGGATGCGTTTGACTCACCATCACTGCTGATGCACACAACCTCTTGAACTTGCGTGCCTGGACCACACTCCTTTCCGTTATCTGGCTCGCAGTCCCCGAGTCTCACTGCTTTCCAGTCATAACAGGCAGGCTCTTCACAGGGAATGGCTTCCAGTAAGTGAGGGCAGTTTCCAGTTCCCCCGGAGCCTCCAGTGGGCTCATTGGTAATGCGCCGCTTCCTCAGTTTGAAGCCTGAATTACGGGGGAAAGTAAAAACCTATTGTTACCATCAAAGGTTGAGTATTTCAGAAAGCTGAATGAAAACCTCAGGGTGAAAGTTGGATAAGAGTGGAGGTAGAAGTCATTTTTGTTTTGAATCACTGGTGTATCCCCAAATTCTAGCTACCGTGAGGTCAGGAACAATTCATTAAATGAGTGAGTAGATTAATGAACGGAATGGGAAAAAAAAATGACAACTTTAGGTAAGGCTAGAAATGTCATACAGTACCCATCTTCCTCACAGCGTGGAGAGTAGAGGGGTGGGAACAGAGAGAGATAAATTTTGGTTAATTTGGAAAGTCTATAGCTACAGAATATTCAAAGGAGGAATGAAATTTTAAGCTATTCAGAAATATTGATGACCAGATGAAAGTGCTATTATTCTGAAATCTTCAGCAATGTCACATAATTAAATTTGGAAAATGAGCCTCTAAGAAGTTGGATGGTTCCAGAGAAACAATTTCTTTGAGCTTCATTTGATCTTAGACCCTCTGGAAAACTGATTTAGGAACATAAGCCATGAGGGCTCTAGTGTGGAATATTCAAAGTCCTGCTTTGTGCTTTAATAGCACCTAAGTCTTGTCCTTCCTGACAGTGTGTAACAAAATTAAAAGGTCTATTTATTACTATGTAAACATACTAGAATCACTAGAAGACTGCTCTTTGAAACAAAATAGAAACTGTTTTCAGTCATGAAGTCATGTGAAAATTAGCTCACCACATCCACCACAAGAAAACCATTGTATTTATTCTATTCCTCTATCATTTGCATTTTTTAAGTAACACAATTTATACATTTTTGTCTTCAAAGTAATAAGCAGCTTTATCTGTTGGGCACTAGAGATGGGGCAGGCACTGAAACATAAGCACTACATGTTTATCTCATTGATTCCTTAGAGACAAGGTAGATGGCAGATATTATTACCACCCTTTTACAGATAAGGAGACAAAGATTTAGATAGTTAACTTATCTAAAGAGTAAGAGACACAGTACATTTTCCAATACAGGCCTGACCCCACAGGTCACCTTAACCACTGCACTCAACTGCCTAAGATTTTCTCCACCATGTTGTCTAAATTAACAAGCATTTATGCCTATATTCTACTGTGTTAATCTTCTGGTACCATCACTGGAGTAGGTTTACTCATCTTTTCAAATTAATAGTTTTTAGCCATTCTGGAAAATACCACAAACACAGAACATAGAAGAGCATTTAAAAAATAATTCATGATTTGATACAATTGGTGGGTATAAAAGGTCATGTTACCTACCTTTTTTTCCTTGCTGATCATTACAGTTTTCGTAAGTACAAGGTCCCCAAGCTGACCAAGGTGAAACTTCACATTCAGTTGGACAAGGAATGTTGCACAGCTGTGTAGTATTAGGGACAGGGCCAGTGCATAATTTCAAGTCCACTGGTTTTGAGGCTATTTAGAGAAAAATAGAGACACATCTTAAACATTAAACAAAAGGAAAATAAATGGTCAACTAATGATTTTTTTCTGTGTTTTGAAAAACAAAAATCCTTAAAGAAGTGCTGCTGAGACAATATTTCAATGCTTCTTAGCCAAAGTCTGAGAATAAAAAGAGAATGAATGGAAATTCAAAAGGCAGTAACGTGTAGTCAAAGGAAACTGGAGATGTCTTGCCAATTTCTGATTACCAGTGTTACCACTAATTGGTCATGCAATTAATGATGCTTTGGTCATGCAATTAATAATGCTGAATGCAATATTCCTAGTCTATAAAATAATCCTTAAGGTTAAATCTAAAATTCTGCAGCAATATTCTAAGAAAGTAAAAGAAAACTTTAGAGGACTGAACACAATAGGAGGGGCACTTTAGCTTTAACATATATGGAAAAAAGTACCCACTGAGTAGTTCCTGGTGAGGCACTCTCCCATCCTCGGTTCACAGAGGTACCAGGTGAAGATGATGAAGCAAGATCTCAAATGGGGGCTACTCTCTGTACCCACAGCTACAGTACTCACTGAATTCTTTCCAGAACTTCTAAATAATAATATATTATCTACATATGTGACACAATTCTTTTTTTTTTTTTTTTTTTTTTTTGAGATCGAGTTTCGCTCTTGTTACCCAGGCTGGAGTGCAATGGCACGATCTCGGCTCACCGCAACCTCCGCCTCCTGGGTTCAGGCAATTCTCCTGCCTCAGCCTCCTGAGTAGCTGGGATTACAGGCACACGCCACCATGCCCAGCTAATTTTTTGTATTTTTAGTAGAGACGGGGTTTCACCATGTTGACCAGGATGGTCTCGATCTCTTGACTTCGTGATCCACCCGCCTCGGCCTCCCAAAGTGCTGGGATTACAGGTGTGAGCCACCGCGCCTGGCCCGTGACACAATTCTAATAAGCACTAAGGACACCAATTTATAATTTGCTGTATTTGTTTATAAGTTGACCAATAAACTGTGGATAAATGTTACTTGTCCTTGCTTTTTTTTTTTTTTTTTTTTTTTAATGCTTGCAGTTTGGCTCTTTCGTACATATTTGACAGCTAAGGTACATATATGTCCATAGTTCTGGACATAGAACGAATGAAAAATGACTAAGTGTTGAAGATATGTAAAACTATATGGACAGAGGAAGAGAATCAAGTTGAGCTGTATAGCATCTATCTATCTATCTATCTATCTATCTATCTATCTATCTATGTATTAATTATTCGTCTATCATCTATCTCCTGACAGCCATAGTTGTTAAAAAATTTAATAGGTGCCAGGGCATGGTGGCTCACACCTGTAGTCCCAGCACTTTGGGGGGTCAAGGTGGGCAGATCATGAGGTCAAGGGATCGAGATCATCCTGGCCAATATGATGAAACCCCATCTCTACTAAAAATATAAAAATTAGCTGGGCATGGTGGTGTACACCTACAATCCCAGCTACTCAGGAGGCTGAGGCAGGAGAATTGCTTGAACCCAGGAGGCAGAGGTTGCAGTGAGCTGAGATTGCACCATTGCACTCTGGCTTGGCAACAGAGCAATCTCAAAATAATAATAATAATAGGTAATTTTATTGGTCACACATTTCCTGAATAATAGCTAGTTCCTTTGCCACTCTGATAATACGCTAAGTCTGTGCTTGCAGAAAAATGACTTAAATAATGAATGCTTAGCTATCTCTCATTTTCCTATGTGAAAGGAATATCAAATTCCAATTGCATGGTATTGCATGTAGAAGCTCATAGAAAAATTAAAAAATGTTAAACTATATTTTCCTAACTTTAAAATGAAAGTATTACGTCTGTTTGTAGCTTAAACTTGAAGATGAATTATATGCACTTGTACATCCTGTAAGTTTTCACACAGGCAAGCACACATAGTCATAAATGCTATCTAACGCCTATGACATTGGCTCTTTCACTGCTACAGTTTTTGTTCTGAAAACTATTCTGCCAATTTTATGTATCCTTTTCTCTACTAGTGGTGCTTCTCTCTCTCTCTCTCTACATCACCCACCCACTTCTCCACCCCCACCATTCCCACACTCGCCACTACAGTGAAAATAAATAACTGGGCACTAATTGGCTTAGTATGAGCACAGTGAGCATTCTCACTCAAGTTCATCAGGATTGCTGTTTATGTGCATAACAGCAGCCAAAGCAGAAAATGATTAATTTTATTGCTTTCCAGTAGCAAAAGTGTTTGGCACACTAATGACAGAAAATACAGGAATAAATGGTTCACTCTCTGAATATAAAAATAACTTGACATCGATGATATATAATTCACATAAAAGTGGATTCTTTTAAAGACATATATAGGCATAAGTGTCTATATTATGTAGCAAAATTAGCTGCAAATTAACATAAGCAATTACTTTTATTTATGGAAACTTTCAGAGTCTAATTTAAAATGAGAGGTTTGGGGTAAAAGACCTTAAAATCTCCATTTTTTTCTTTCAATTTATTAAAAGTCATTTTAAATCTTGGTGCTATTATATTATTTTCAAAATAATAATTTATATAAAATAAAATTTACTGGGTATGCAATTGTGAGGAATATTGCAGTCTGAATTCATTAATTTTATATATAAGACTGAAAACTTTAGGTAGCAAACATTGTTTTATTAAGAAAATGGGTTAAGCAAGATGACTCACAGGAATAGCTTCTGCCACCAAGAGACCAGACCATTGAGAAGACCTGTACTCTCCAAGCAGATCTTCAGCGGGATGACACAGAACATACACAGAAAGAGACACAGAGCCTGGGATAAAAGAGGAGGAAGCTGGGCACTCTGCACTGGGCTACTGAGCACCAAGATTCATTCCTGGCCCTGAGGGGCTCCTGAGAAAGGGGTGAGTTAAACAGGTATGGAATGGCCCACTCTTGCCATGGACCCCAGAATCCTAGCTGCAGGGGAATCCACTCCCCACACAGACATTTGACTTGGCAGACAGAGCTTATCAGAGAGTTATCAGGGATAGGACTCCAAACGGTGCAGAACCTAGGGCATTTGGCATAGCAATAGCTGCAGTAGAGCACAGCCAGAGATGCCTATCTCCCAAGGCTCACCACATTCTTCTAGGTAGCTTTGGCCTTTGTTAACTGCAGGATCTGAACAGAGCAGGGCTTTCTTGCCCATGGTACAGGCTCAGTCTGATCTGAGCACTCCCTGTCTTCCAGCCTGTACCAGGGTAACTGCCTGGCCTTGCCCACTTGCAGTACAGCCTCGGATGCCCAATGGGGGTGCTTTCCAGCAGCTGCTATCCTTAGCTCCTTCAATGGTAGGCACCACCTAACCATTAGAGAGCTTCTGCAGATGAACCCTCTCCAGCAGGCACCTGGCTGCAGCCTCCCCAAACACTGTACCAGGGCCCCCCACCCTGCTGCTGCTCTGCTGCTCACACACATACACACACACACACACATACACACACACACACATGGACCCTGCCAGTTGATGGCATGTATGCCCAAGTGTGTAGCTCATTGTCACCACCTCACTGAAGTGCTGTTACCAGCACTCTCCATCAGAGTGTTGCTGGCAGCTGACTGGGAACATCTCAGCCCTGGCAGTACAGCAGGTGCTCACCTGTCAGGGTCAGAGAACAAAGCCATGGGCCTTGTCCCAGGCCCCAGATGTACTGAGCTGGGCCTGGGCCAACTGAAATCACCCAGAAATGTAGCCAGTTTACTGAACCCCATTTATATCACAGTCAAACCTTCAAGGACATTAAAGAATATAAAAGCAATAAACTTCATCCAAAAGACAGCAGCTTCAAAGATTTAAGGAGCTTCAGCCCACAAAGATGAGAGAAAAACCAGCACAAGAACTCTGGGAACTTAAAAAGCCACAGTGTCTTATTAGATCCAAATTACTGTAGTAGTTCCCAGAACTGGTTTTTAATCAGGCTGAAATGGCTAAAATGACAGAGATGGAATTCAGGGTCTGAATGGCAATGAAGATCACTGAGATTCATGAGAAAGTTGGAACCCAATCCAAGAAATCTAAGGAATCCAGTACAAAGATACAAAAGCTAGATGAAATAGCCACTTTAAGAAAAAAAAAAAAAAACTGATCTAATAGATCTGAAAAACTCACTACAAGAATTTCATAATACTATTGAAGGTATTAACAGCAGAACAGGCCAAGCTAAGGAAGAAATCTCAAAGCCTGAAGATTTATCAAATCAAATACGAAAAACAAAAATAATGAAAAAATAAAAAAGAATGAACAAAAATCTCGAAGAAATATAAAATTATGTGATGAGAATAAACCTATGACTTGCTGACATCCCTGAAAGAGAGTAAGGAAATTAGTTACTACCAGATCTGACTTGCAAGAGGTCCTTAAGGGAGTGCTAAACATGGAAATGAAAAACTGTTACTGACCACCACAAAAACACACGTAAGTACACAGACTATTGTCACTCTAAAGCAACTCCAAAATCAAATCTAGACAACTAGCTAATACAATGGCAGAATAAAATCTTCACATGTCAATATTAACCTTGAATGTAAATAGGCTAAACACTTCACTTAAAAGGCACAGAATGTCTTTTTTTTTTTTTTTTTTTTTTTTTTTTTTTTTAAGATAAGAAGCAAAACCCAACTATACGCTGTCTTCAAGAGACCATATCACATGCAATGACACTCACAGGCTCAAAGTAAAGGGATAGAGAAAAATCTGTCAGGAAACAAAACAAAAACAAACAAATCAGGAGTTGCTTTCCTTATTTCAGACAAAGCAAGGTTTTAACCAGCAGCAATCAAAAAGGGGAAAGAAGGGCATCACATAATAATGCAGGGCTTATTTTAATAAGTTGACTTAACTATCCTAAGTATTGATGTGTTCAACACTGGAGAATCCAGATTCATGAAACAAGTTCTTAGAAACCTACAGGGATACTTATATAACCACATAATAATAGTGGGAGATATCAATAACCCACTGACAATATT